GTGCCAGAGTCGCAAAATTCATTTGCGATTTCGGTTTGTTGTGATTTTTCGGTTGTCATCGTTCCAAAAGAATTCTCTATTAAAACTATTTATCACAGCATTATAAATGTTACTTTCATTGATTTCTTGATTTTGTTCCTGCTGTTCTTGATCTTGATCTTGAACAACAGACTCCAATAATCCGGCTTCTTGATTTGGTGTAATCGCGCTTAATTTATTAGCCGAAGATGACGATAAATCGATACTATCTTTAACCACATTAGTTACAGGATATCACATTCTTAGGTAAATTTTTTGTTATTATCCTTATCACTATCAATATCTTCACCGCCATTATCAATTTGCTCTTCGTCGTCATCTTTATCGTCATTATCATCGCGAGTGATGGAAGTGGACAGACCGTGAGAAGTTTTATTTTGGTTTTATCATTTTCATTATCTATACTCGTCATACTCGCACACTATTGATTATCAGTCAATCAATCAGCCAATCGGGTTAGTCAGGTAATAAATATATAAGACCAAGTTATACAAAAATAAATATTTTACAATTTTATGAAGTGCATTGGCCAAATGTTTCCACAGAAACACCTTGACATTCTTTTCGATATTTCTCGGTTTCGGATTCGAGAATCCCATAATCAATCGAAACAAATCATCACTATCCTTCGAGTTTTTCCCAACAGTCAACGGCTTAAACCCTTCTAAATTTCGACGGATCCGGTTCTTCTCCTCGACAGTGAAACGCACTGCAAGCAACGCTTCCAAAAGTGAAACACAATCAACTGAAGTGATGTAATACTCATTTTTGGCTTTCCACCAAATACACGAAACGATAATCGCGTTTGGCGTACGATCTTCATGCTTTAAGGCCGCGAAGACACTTGGATAATATTATTTTCTTAACGACGCCGGAACTGAACTAGCCGTCGGCAATTTGTCATTTCGTATTCGGTCCAGTTTCGTACTATTGTGTTGAGATCTCCTTGAATGGCCAGTTTTGCGTTTCGTAACATTTCTACCATGGATTTTTTGTCGGGTAACGCCATCGCCGCATCATCAGACGAGTCTGCTGGTGGAGTTGATGAAGGGACCACCGGCGGATCTTTGAGTGTCGTTGACGGACGTAATGCCCATGGCATCTGTAGTGGCATGTAGGGAAAAAATGGCCATTGTGAGATAGTTGTACAAGATGGTCCAACTATGGGTGTGACTTCTGTCGGAATCTCGTATTTCGGGTTATGCTCTTCAGAGTTAAACTGTTCTTGATCGGTAAAATGGGTCGAAAATGGACATTCATGCGACGATTCTATATTCAAGCGTTCTGTTTTTCATAAATAAAACGAATTTTCATTGTCGGTTTTTATCGTGTTAAAGTGTATAAAGTCGTTTATGAAATGAATCTACCATGAGGAGAATTTGACGAGAGCAATTGTTGAGCTTTTGTGGGAGGAATTAAAGCCGGTGAGAAATCCGAAGGAGATTCTTCCGCTGACATAACCTTTAGGTGAATGATGATATAACAAAGGACGAGCAAAACTGGGCTTTCGAGATGATGTTGAAATTTGGTGTGACGCTGGATTCCGCAAAGTAATGAATGTATGGTCAATTGATAGATTTAATTACACATAATTTTGCTATCTAAAATTTCCTGTTGAGCATAATGAACTTTCGTAGATTTGCTTTTTCTTGGAGTGCTGATTAGTGTGTTTGAAACAGCGATTTAAAGTCGCACAAATCGCAAATTTATTTATTATTTACCTCGAAATTGATCAATTCACAATACTTTTAGTACATGCAAATGGTGACACCACGGTCGTAAGACGATGCTTAGTATCAGTGCAAATTGCTGCGATAACACTTTCTGATGTCCGAACGCTAATTCTAGATGATATTTTCGGTCGGTCGGGAGCGCAATGTCAAATTCTGCGGAAAAAGTTATGCCTTCTTGGCCAATATGTGGATCGAAAGCCACCTCACGAATTGGTGATTGCGGCGGTGTCGTGTCGGTGGTGGTAGCTTTTGTAATTGGTAGATGTACTTCTGGCAGTGGTATGATGACTGATAATGATGATGATGTTATGTTATGTTGATGGTGGTTGTTGCGTGGCAATGATGAGAATTTTTGTGATCTCACAACAATATTAAAATGGTGCTGATTGTAGGAGTTGAACCTACAACCTACCGCTTACAAGGCGGTTTTGTGTATCCTTAATGAATCAATAAATGTTATTAATATAATATGAAAAACAAATATCCCACGCCAGTAGTATGTATATATTGCAAATACTTTATTGTTGCATTTTTCTATATGAATTTATATATATATATATATAAATTTTATAAGGAAATAACGCACGTATATACAGTGTAGGGGTTTTTTTTAGCAAGGTATTTACTCTGTCTCTTTCTTTTCGAGCACTGCTCATTCGGTAGCAGGAAAATATTTTTTTTATATACTACAGTGTGGAGATGAAAAATATTGGAAGGGGTGCTTGTACAAACATGAAAATTTGAAGAATACTTTGCATTTATTGCTCTCAATATTATGTGTTATATATAGAACGGAAAGTCGGCATTCCGGAATTCGTGAATTCGAAAGGAATCTTTTTGCTGCTGCTTCTTTCTAAGGTTAAAGAGTTTGTCGTAATTTTGAACGTCTGTTGAGTTTTTGGTTTTGTTGTGAGAGAAAAAAAATATGTAAGCAAGATTATATTATCGCGTACAGAAATTTCTAGAATTTAACAGTTAATGTCAATTAACGTCATCCTTTTATGTCTTCTTTTCGGATCTTTCTAGAATCCTCCCGTTCGCGTTGCTTCACGATGGTATTTCGTTCTTTGGCTATTAACTATTGACTATTTTGCTGTTTAACTATTTTTGTTATTTGACTATTTTGCTATTTATTATTTTACTATGATAGTTACTCTTGGGCGCCGATCGCAAGTTCAACAAGAAATAGATTCTCGTATTCTCGTATTATTTTTGAACTATCGTCTTATTCGACCTCTTCATTTTCGAAGATGATTCTGACTCACCTCTTTCTTAATGGTTATTATTTTGAGTAGTGAATGTCGGATCTTTGAGGATCATTTAAAAAGAAAGTGGACGAGATTGAAATTCAAAAACGAACGAACGAATGAATAAAAGCAAAGGAGGTAAAAAAAGAGACAAAATTTGCAGACTAAAGTGAGTCGAAAGTTTATTATCAATAGCAATATTAAGATAATTTATCTATCGTCTATTGATTTTATTATTTAGCTTTGATTATTGTGAACTAATGATTGTAATAACTAAAAATTAAAATAATAAAAAAATTTCTATTTGAGGATTTCGTAAAGAAACGAACAAACGCGCAAAATTATAAAAATTGAACAAAAGAATGGATCAAGCTCAAAAAAAAAAAGAAAACGAACCGAACCGAACGAATGAAAGAACGAGGGAAGGAAGTTTGTCGAGAACCTTTTTTTTAAAAATATAATATAATTGTGAAATATATAACCCAATAATAATATATAATATATCAATCAATGAACAATTATTATTATTATTTTTTTTTGGCAGTATATACACGCCTATATGATCACCTGGCGGGCAGCTCATCGTTATTGTCAATTCTATTTATTAATTAAATTTGTTAATGGTGGTGCGATGGCAAAGCTTTAGTTTAGTTGGATGATGTGATGCTTGTTGTAAGAAAATAGTTGATTGTTGTTCGATTGAAATGGGAATTGAATTCTTGATGATAGTATTACTTTTACTACTATGATGATAAATAGATATAATATAATTAATTGTACCAATCATTTAATCTGTATATATAATTTTGCTTTTTTATTAGCGTTAGTAATAGTAATATTGTTATTCGATAGAGTATGCAAAGTACAAATAAAAGATATGAGATTTTCTTTTTGCTTGTTTGTCAAGCAAGACGCGTTTTTTCCGATTATGCAATTATGCAATGCAATTTTTTGCATAAACTTATAATAATATATCGATATCTGTGCATGAATCGATATGTGAACGCGAATTTCATCTTATGATATAAACAACTGTGAACAGTATCTAGCTTTTTTAAAATGCTCACGCGCCCGCATATTCTCTTTTTGTCTTCTTCGGTCTTCTTAAGTTCGCGCCCTTTTCCAAGAACTTTAAAAAAAATTCAAATATCTACGTTCTGTCTGTGTGTCTGATACGCAGGTTTCACTTTGTGTCAAAATTAATTAAATTAAACCTTTTTGCCAAATAAAGTTGCCAACTGGAGATACGTACGCATATACGAGGAATGAAATCAACGGCTCGTGCGCAACTGAAACATCAATCAATCAATTAACAACAATAATTTGATATCCCGAGTGTGCTACGTCCAGAGTATTCGGTCCCCATTTTAGCATGAGCCCGTTGACCTCGTAAAGTTGTTAATAACTCTGGCAGAAATTGAGAATAGTATCAAGGTCATAAATGAATGCATTAGAAATATTATCATGCACATGTACCTTGATGTGTGATCTTGCCATTTCGCAAAAGGTCGATATAATTGTTATACATGTATACTGATCGATTATTATTAATACGCTGCGTCTTTATATACAGATAAACTCTCTAAATGCACCCTCTATAAGTGCATATCCTCTTTAAATGCACTCTATTATTTGTCCCAAGCTGGGACTATAGTGGTAAATGCACAACCTCTATGTTCTGCACGTGCAATAAATTTTCAAAATTTTCAGTTCTATTATATTATCTCTTTAAATGCACGCACGTGATTAAAATAACACGTGCATAATCATGAGTTATTTTATTTATTAACTAATTATAAAAAATTCTGGTAAAGCTATTATGAAAATCTGGTCATTATGACATTTATAATAATTATATCACTGATAAGCTAGCTATTATAAGATCCTGATCATTTTGATCATTAACGTTAATTTTTATCCATCTTCCTACTATAATTACTTTAATAAATATATCATCAAAAAATAAAATAATCCTAACAGACATCCAAAAGTTGAATAAAAATCTTTCAAAGTTATTATTATACATATATGATATTAATTAAATTTTTTAAAATACATAATAGTTGCATGATAAGTTTTATATAATATATAAATAAAATTATATCATATTTTATAACATGAATTGATATAAAAAGATTTGTATCTCAATATAAAAATCAATAATTGCTTCTATTAAAAATCATTCAAATTTTTAATCAATCTTTATAATTTTTTTATATTAAATAAAAAATGATCTAAATTAACTTTTTATACTATTTTAATTATTTTATTATACTTTAATTTAATAATAAATAAAGCATTACTTTACTAAAAAAAATTAAAATAAAATTATTTTTTAAAAAAAGATATTTTAAATATTATTACTATCAATTTGTAATATTAGAACTTCAATTATACAAGCAGATTGTCATAGATTTAATAAATATATATTCTAAATTTCTTAAAAATTAAATTAGTAATTATAAAGATATTAAGATTCAAAGTTGAGTAATTAAATTATTTACTATATAATATTTATATTATTTTAATCAAATTTTATATAGTAAAATTTAAGAAACAATAATTGAAAAAGTTATTATTAGTAAAATTTTTTTTATAAAAGATATATAATAAAAATTTTTACATTTAAATAAATTCCAATATCTAATAACTTAATTAAATAAGGCAGAATTAAAATTTTATTTTGAAAAAATAATTTATTAATATTTATCTGAGATATAAATCTTTTTGTACCAACTCATAATATATATTCATTATTTCTTTTTATTTTATAATTTATATATATATTTTTATTATAATAAATTTATATATTATATATAATAAAATATTTCAGAAAATATAAAAATTATAAAAAAAGTCTTTTTATCAATCTTAAAATATATTATTATATAAAAAATAATAATAAAAATTATGAAAAGATATATATAACTTATTTATTTTTTTATCTTTTATTTAATTAATAAGAAATTAATAATTTTATTTTATATTTTTTATTTTATATTAACAATTTATTTAACTAATTCATTATTTTATCTTTTATTTAGAATATAAGAAATTAATAATTTTATTTTGTATCTTTTATTTTAATTTTCTTGAATATTAATAATTAATTTAACTAATATATTATTTTATCTTTCATTAAAATATAAGAAATTAATAATTTTTTTTATATTTTTTACTTTTAATTTTCTTTAAGATTAATAACTTATTTAACTAATTTATTATTTTATCTTTTATTTATAATATATAAAATTAATAATCTTATTTTGTATCTTTTATTTTTTAATTTTTTTGATATTAATAATTATTTAATTAATTTATTATTTTTATTTTTTATTTAAATATATAAAATTAAAAATCTTAGTTTGCATCTTTATTTTTAATTATTTTTGATATTAATAATTTATTAATTAATTTATTATTCTATCTTTTATTTAGAATATATAAAATTAATAGTCTTATTTTATATCTTTTATTTTAATTTTTTTGAAATTAATAATTTATTTAACTAATTTATTATTTTATCTTTTATTTAGTATAAAAATTTTGATTGGATTATCTTTTCTTTAGTTTAGATCTTTATTTTGCATTATCTATATTATAGATTAGTTTTATATTATATTTTTAAGAAGATTAATTTCATACTGGATATACAGATGATTATTATGCATTTAATATATTAGATTTAGCATATTGTCATGCAGATAATTATTATATATATTTATATTATTAATTTAGATTATTAATATTTTTAATTAGATATTCTTTTTAATTATTCTTTTATTTTCTTATTCATTTTTTATTTATTATTATTTATATTTATTTATCATATTTATAATTATTATTACTTATTAAATTATAATTAGTTGCTCTTTAAAGATGTGAATTAAGTTAATTAATTCTATTTAATTATATATATTCTAATTATAGATTTATTATTAATTTATTTATATTTTATATTTATTTTATTTCTTATAAATAAAATCTTTTTGTTTTGTAAATTAACTTTAGATCTGAATACTTTTAAATAATAAAAATAATCATAAGTTATAAAATTAAAACTATTTATATTACATTTTATCTTATTTATAATTATTAATAAAATAATCTTACAACTTGATAGTAATGAATATAATTATTATAAATATCATTCTCTAATATCTTACTACATACTATACATTATATACTACATACTTCACATACATATATCTTAGTTTTAATTTATTAAAATTTTAGTAAAGATAAATACAAAACAATCATATAATTCATAAAAAGTATGACTAAATTAATTAAAATAGTTAAAGAAGATGATTTTTCTAATTTCAAGTTCTTATCTCATCTCTTAGTAAAATTATCTATATACTTAGAAGAGTTAAATAAGAATATACTCATCTGAATTATTCAAGTTA